ATTGACTACAGACATTCGGATATTCAAACTTTTTATAAATTCTAACAAAAAACATAAGTGAAAATAATATGGAGAACTAAAGTTGAAAACTCTCAAATTTTCACAAGATTTTAAGGTGACCTGATCTCTGGAATAATTGCATTAACTCTTCATAGCTAAAGATGCAACTCGTTTTTTTTTTTTCTTCTTCTTCTTTTTCTAATTGTATTATTTTGGAAAAAATTAACCATGCATTACATATCCAACTAAGTGATTCATTGTCTCAGGGGTAATAAGGACTTGTAGTCAGTGCTGGAGCTGCAGCTGGATTGCTTTACAGTCCAATCAAAAGTATCCCTGCTACTCCGTCCGCCCTGCTGCACCCTCCCTCTGGTGCCGTCGTTCAACAAGCCCCCTCCAACCACTTCTCCCCCTCTTCCTCATTAAAGTAGCATCTGCTGAAGGGAAGAGGCCTGAATCCAGCCCCTAACCATGCTCACATACACCCCACCGCTTCCTTTTGCAAACACTCATGCCTGCCATCTGCCACAGAGTTGGACGAAACCCCGCCACTGAAGCAGCCACACGCTTTCACCATGCATGCAGGCTGAAAGCCCTCATTTAAAACACACTCAATTGCTGGAAAGCGTCTCCTACGCAGAGCTGCTTGATCGCACACAGATGCACACATTGACATTTGCACTTGAGCTCCAGTTTTGTAGTGCAATCTGAACAAGAAGTCCTCATGAAGGAGAACAATCTCAACCTGCCGTACAAATCCAAAAAAACTTCACAGCATCTCTGTGGGAGTCAAAGGAAGAGGTAGGGAAGACAAGGGGCAACAGTAGACTTTAATTAGTCCACTGTGGCCATGGGGTCCCTCCAGCGTTTCATTTCAGGAGGAAAGAGAGAGAGAGCAGAAAGGAAAGATGAGGACAGCGCTGAGAGAAAGGGACCCGTACTGATTGAACATGGAGCTCCTCCCTGTGGCTTCTTTTCAGCCTCCTTCTCTTTTCTTTCCATCTCTGCTTGTTGTACATACAGGTGCTGGTCATAAAATTAGAATATCATGAAAAAGTAGATTGATTTCAGTAATTCCATTTAAAAAGTGAAACTTGTATATTATATTCATACATTACATACAAACTCATATATTTCAGATGTTTATTTTGTTTAATTTTGATGATTACAAATGACAACAAATGAAAATCTCAAATTCATCATATCAGAAAATTAGAATATTACTGAAGACCAATAAAAACAAAGGATTTATAGAAATGTTGGCCAACTGAAAAGTATGAACATGAAAAGTATGAGCATGTACAGCACTCAGTATTTAGTTGGGCCTCCTTTGGCCTGTATTACTGCAGCAATGCGGCGTGGCATGGAGTCCATCAGTCTGTGGCACTGCTCAGGTGTTATGATAGCCCAGGTTGCTCTAATAGTGGCTTTTAGCTCTTCTGAATTGTTGGGTCTGGTGTATTGCATCTTCTTCTTCACAATACCCCATAGATTTTCTATGGGGTTAAGGTCAGGAGAGTTTGCTGGCCAATTAAGAACAGGGATACCATGGTCCTTCAACCAGGTACTGGTAGCTTTGGCACTGTGTGCAGGTGCCAAGTCCTGTTGGAAAATGAAATCTGCATCTCCAAAAAGTTGGTCAGCTGCAGGAAGCATGAAGTGCTCTAAAACTTCCTGGTATGTGGCTGCGTTGACCCTGGACCTCAGAAAACACAATGGACCAACACCAGCAGATGACATGGCACCCCAAACCATCACTGACTGTGGAAACTTTACACTGGACTTCAAGCAACGTGGATGAAGTGCCTCTCTTCTTTTCCTCCAGACTCTGGGACCTTGATTTCCAAAGGAAATGCAAAATTTACTTTCATCAGAGAACATGACTTTGGACCACTCACCAGCAGTCCAGTCCTGTTTCTCTTTAGCCCAGGCAAGACGCTTCTGACGCTGTCTGTGGTTCAAGAGTGGCTTGACACAAGGAATGCGACAGCAGAAACCCATGTCTTTCATACGTCTGTGTGTGGTGGTTCTTGAAGCACTCACTCCAGCTGCAGTCCACTCTTTGTGAATCTCCCCCACATTTTTGAATGGGTTTTGTTTCACAATCCTCTCCAGGGTGCGGTTATCTCTCTTGCTTGTACACTTTTTTCGACCACATCTTTTCCTTCCCTTCGCCTCTCTATTAATGTGCTTGGACACTGAGCTCTGTGAACAGCCAGCCTCTTTAGCGATGACCTTTTGTGTCTTGCCCTCCTTGTGCAAGGTGTCGATGGTCGTCTTTTGGACAACTGTCAAGTCAGCAGTCTTCCCCATGATTGTGTAGCCTATAGAACTAGACTGAAAGACCATTTAAAGGCTTTTGCAGGTGGTTTGAGTTAATTAGCTGATTAGAGTGTGGCACCAGCGGCCATCAATTTTGAACCTTTTCACAATATTCTAATTTTCTGATATGATGAATTTGAGATTTTCATTTGTTGTCATTTGTAATCATCAAAATTAAACAAAATAAACATCTGAAATATATGAGTTTGTATGTAATGTATGAATATAATATACAAGTTTCACTTTTTAAATGGAATTACTGAAATCAATCTACTTTTTCATGATATTCTAATTTTATGACCAGCACCTGTAATGCCCTCTCGCTTTCAGTGCATTTGCTCGTCACCCCTCAGTTATCCACAGTGAATAATAATGTTTCCTCTAGGAGAGACAGAGGCAGAGAAGCAAGCCTACGGCCATGCATTCTGGTTGTCTGAGCATTCCCCAGTCATCCTCTCTGCCTGGGCAAAAATCAACAGTGAGGTAGGCAGGATGACCCAGCCTACCCATTCCTTCCTTCATACTCCCTATGCATGTTTTTTTTACTCATTATTTACGATCTGCATCACCCAGAGGTCCGTCTGTCTCTTATTCCCTGTGCACACTCAAACAAATGTTGGACCACAGGGACACTCCTCTTGTCTTTTACAACCTGTCCAGGCAAGTTAGCAGCATTTTATATGTTTTCTGGGGATGTTTGCTCTTGCCTGCAACACTGCCATCATCGTCACTGTCACTCAGACAGAAACGGCAGAAGGGCAAACCTACTAGAGGAGAGATTTCTTTCAAGAGACAGAGAAGTTGAAGAGACAGTGTGGCCCAGCTCCAGATCCTCGGGCTATTTAAAAAAATGCTGCTCAGTTCACACTAGTAAGCCACATTACTTTGCTTTATTTCTTTTCTTTGTGGTCTCATGCGCTTTATTTTAATTTATTTTATTTTTTTGTGGAGATTTCCTAAAATAGAATTAAATCTGTTCAGTTAATGATCTGGAACTGTTAGGGCTGATCGCAGGGCTGACGCATAAATGCACATTTAGTCATATTCTCAGAATAAAAATTCTGTTTTAACTCAAATCCAAGTAACTAATACATCTTTTCTAATCAAGTCATGTGAAGTCATATGGTCCTGCAGTAACAGAAGCTATTAAAGACCCATTATTTGGTTCACTGTGCCTTTCCACTGCCTTTGCTGATGCCAGATGAAATGGGCCATTCTAATCCTCATTAACATAGCTAATTTCACATAAGGGAAAGTTGATAGAGGATGTCAAAACCATTCAAAGGTCAGCCAAGCAGGCATTTACTGTATCAGTATTTATATGCATATCTATAAGAGAGACTGTTCAAATATTTCAACATCCGTTTAATAAAATCTTTAAGTAACAGATCACTCAAGCATAGAGTAAAAGCTGCCAGATACGATACATGAGGCAAAACAGAGGTAACCTTTCAGTTTCTGACTAAACAGGTGACGCTGTCAAAGCATCAGATGACGGTTGGTCATGCTGACATGAAAAAGGGGTTAGGAGTTGGAGGATGGGCAGAAATAGGATTTGAAATGTTTGCCCTCATCCCAGCCTAAAGGGTTGCTGTACTACAGCCTTCGTACAGATGGATGGACGTGTCACAGCAACACATGAGGGTTGGTTCTTTCAACAGAGACTCCGGCAAAGACACATTGAAGAGAAGGGACAGACCTGACATTAGAGGCAGGAAGATGTTGTCACTTGACCTTTAATATTGACATATATCTGTGTTCAGAATACAGAAGAAAAAAAGATGCCCGCTGTGGCTACGTACTATAAAAAGCTAGAGTTGTTGAACTTTTTAACATTACAAAAGACGTTTTTTTTACTAAGACATTTTCTATTCTCATTCAAACTATAAATTATTTAGATTTATGGTTTTCTGAAATGCACAAAATGGCATCTAAGCTATCCTATTAAGGATATTTAGCTGATTTGTACAAATAAATGGGTTGCACAATGCTACAAAATCATATGCAGGGGTTTATTTATACTTTTGACAGCAAAATCAGCTGAAATAAATCCGGTTTCTATTTCTCGCCATTCTCTAATGTTCTGTGCAAACCTTCCTATGTTTGGCACTATAATCTGTATCGGTGGCAAGCATTTACTGTAGAAAGACTTCATGCAACTGGCAAAATATATTAATAACACATGTAATAGATCAAGCAAAAAGAGTGTGTTCTATCGGGTATTATACTTGTGCACATTCATAAAGCTAAAATATTTTTGAAATCCTTTGTACAGCCACAAAATTCCCATTTGCATGAGCGCATATAATGCTGTATTGAATTCTTAAAAAATAAATATATGTAACTGTGAAAAAAACAGAATAACAAAAAGTATAACTGATTTTTCTTTGTTTAGTTAAAGCTTATTTTGTATCATTGTTTAGTTTCCCCGATTTAATTCTATTATTTGCCTGGCAATTTCACAAATACATATAGCTGCTAAAATAGTATTTTATAATATCTGCAACAATGACAAGAAGGTTTTATTTTATTCTATTCTACATCAGAAGTTTTAGCCACTTTTTTCAAAGTTTTAGTTTAAGTTTTTAAAGATTTTTCTCTTCTGTTTATGGCTAGGCACCCACTGAGTATCCTTCTAGCCAAAAGCTTAACATATGAAAATATTTTGGAGAACTTACCTCATCACCCTCCGACTGGAGGTAATGCTCGCCACGATAACACTCTCTGGTCTTGGGGTGGCCACAGCCTTGAAAGTCCCCTTCCAAAACTTCTCAAATAGCTGCTTCTCTCCCAGATGCAGCAAACTGCTGCTGGTGGTGGAGGTGTTTTCTTCTGTTCCCAGGGCTCGAGAAGAACCATTAAGGTCAAGCTTGAATGAAAAAGGTGGCTGCATCTCAGTATTTTTTGTTGTTGTTGTTTAAATCTGAAAATGAGATGTAATATTTTGTCCCTCACAAAACAGATCCTTCACTCCACAAGCTTCTAAAGTCATGCACACACTCTCTCTAGTTGTTGATCAGGAACTGTCCAAGTACTGAATCGAAGCAACTACAGTGCAGCAGGCTGTTTTGCCTTGTCGTCTCCTCTTCGCTGCAACCGGTCAACCTGTCAGCGCGTCTGTCTGCTCTTCAACTGAGCTGTATCCCGGGGAGAAGGACAAAAGCTGACCCTTTCCAGCTGAAGGCAGGGTATTGTTCTTGAGTGTGGGTCGGGGTGGGGGAGATTGGGTTTCTTTCACCCCCTCTCCTCCTCAGTCACATCTGCTCCCCTGTTGAAGATGGGGTCTGGGTCGAGTAGAACGGGAGCTCTTTTGTTTTATCCCTGTGGGAACCTTTAAACACTATAAAGCGTCCCTTACCTACAGAGCAAGAAGCATGATTCAGTCAAAAGGTTAGAGGAGATTTCTTCTTAAAAAACAGAGTTTTGATTGTATATCCACCCAGAGGAGTTGAGCAAGTTTAGAGCAAGCAACCCTGACAAACGGTGTGGATGTGAGTAGAAGAGTGTCTTAGCGAGTGTGTGAATGAGAGCTGAGTGAGGAGCTCAACTGTGAAAAAGCTTGTTTTGTATCTCTGCATTGGTGACGTCAAAACTGGGGGCTGGGCTCATAGAAGAGGGACTCCTCCGAGAGTGTTTGTATGGGGAGGGTGTTCGGGGGGCGGAGGTGTGTGTGTGTATTATTCTTCTCTCTCTTAATTCTTTAATTAGTTTACCTCTCATCTTACATGTGCACACATTATTGTCTCTTTCTTTTAATTGTTCCAGTCTTTCTCCTCCCCTTTTTCTCCACAGCCAGACCTCACGCATCTTGTTTTTTCCTCCACTTTAAAATAAAGCTGTAAAACCTTAGTGCTTAGATCAGATCACACAAAATCATGCATAGCACAAGAAGGCACCAAAGAAAGCAGCTCCTCTAAAGTAAAATTCAAGTTGGTAGAATGCTGACAATGTCAAGGGTCAGATAAATGGACCCAGAATTCAGGCAGACAGAACAGGTTTGTGTAAAGATAAAACACTTGATGGCTCTGGATAACGTGGCTTGTCAGCTGGGACCAGCGTGCTGTATTCTCTGGTTCCCAGTTCCGTCCATGTCTGGACTGACTTGGGAAGAGGAAGGAGCGTGAACCACAAGGATGACTTTTCCACAACATGTGGCGGGAGCTGCCCAGAGAGTTCCAGGAGCGAGAAAGAGCCGCCTGTAGAGCGGAAGCCATCAGACACTGAAGAGCAGAAGAGTCCAGAGGCAAAATCTAGAGCAGGTAATGAAGCAGGGGCACAAACCAGAAGATCATAGAGAAGCATTACCAAAGAGATAATCCAAGCCCGGGTCAGGGGACAGATCCAAGGTTGTTAACGGGCAGAGTCCAAACAGCAGTCCGAACACTGGAAACAGACAGAAACAGACCGGTAGAGGGGCAAGCCAAAACTCAGGAATCCAGAGGCAGAAACTGGTCAGGATCAGGCAGTCAAAAAAACACAACAGGGTATGCTAGATACTTCTAACACTTGGCGCGAATAATCTGGAACTGATGACTGGAAATAGGAGCTGGGACAGGTGGATCAGATGAGGGTAGATGAAAATTGGCCATAGCTAAGCAGGTGGAAGGAATTAAACTACGGTAATGATCCAGTTATCTGTGTCAAGATCTTGACAGACACACCCAATACATAGGGGTCACTTGGTCTGAACTTTTCCCATAACCCACCATTATCCCACTATACACCAAACTAGAGTAATTGAACACAAATTGAATGTTGATGACGATGTTCCCTTCTTCAATGGTTTCCTGCAATTAAGACATTAATGATGTAGTGTGAGTAATGTTGATGTATCAATTATTTAAAATATACAAAATTTCTTGTTTTTCTATTTATTTTTTAAGAATATCAGAATTTTCGTATCTAATGCCTGATTTTTGAAAGCTTTACCTGAATTGAAAGAGATGCAAATGTGTTAGCTTATCTTCAAAACAGATTTAATTGAATTGCAGATGCAGAAGCGTAACAGTACAAATCTTTGTACATGGGTGTCATCATTAATACGCAGATCCTATTCTTATCAGCAAGCAATGTAAAATACTAAGTGGATGAGATGCGAATGTAAATACTTCCTTGCTGCAGAACAGATTTGTCAAGCCTGAAACCTATTGCAGGTAGTATTTGCAGCTTTATTTAACAAGTGTGAAAGTCAGGTACAAACTTGCACGCAAATATATCTGTGATTGTTATGGTCACAATGAGACATTGGTACAGTGAAAGAAGATTAAGAGTAAGTATTAAGTAAGCATTTGTTTTGTTCTTTATTCATCAGTTACTTTTTGTTGCTGGTAGGCATAAATATATTTTACAATTCCCTACAATTATTGGGACCTAGGTGATTTATTCAATTGACTTTATAATTTCAATCTTATCATTAAAAATTAGATAAAGTACATGCATTTCACTTAATGTGAATGGAAACGAGGTCAAAAAGAAAAGTGGTAAATCTGTCTGTACTAAATGTCTTGTAAATTACTTTCCCCACCGGGAAGTCTTATGTAGGTTGGGATTAGTATCTCATTCCTCTATACATATGCATAAAGACACTGCTCCCTGCCTCATTGGGACTAATAACGCATATATTAGTTGATAACTTGAAACCTTGATGTATAACACCACCAACTGCTTGATGATAAGTGGCCACTTCATCAGGGTGCTTTGCATAAAGAGGAAACTGAGGTGCTCTCCAATCAAACTAGAAAGCACAAACAAGGGGGAAAATATTTCCACTGTAGACAGGAATATCTAAAAACTTCATATATTGTTGCTTTAAATGTTGGACGGTCTTGTCAAGGGCAGTGGGTCAGATTACTGCAGGTATTTTTTTGTTTTGTTTTTTCTACAACGGGCTTTTGCTTCTGCATATTTTATAAACAGAGCTCAGTTGAAGTACATCAGAGTTGAAAATTAAGATTTGTGTAAAGATGATACTTTTGGTATGTGGAAAAGTAATAAATTAAAATGTGGTTAAAAAACTAAATATTGACACACACATATATACAAATATATATATATATATATATATATATATATATATATATATATATATATATATATATATATATATATATATATATATATATATATATATATATATATATATGTATAAAAACTGTTTTCTCACCCCTCGTGGGGTGGTATGCCTCATCCTCAAGCTCGGGTCCTCTACCAGAGGCCTGGGAGTTTGAGGGTTCTGCGCAGTATCTTAGCTTTTCCTAGCTAGGACTGCACTCTTCTGGACAGAGACCTCTGATGTTTTACCTGGAATCTGCTGTAGCCACTCTCCCAGTTTGGGGGTCACAGCCCCCAGTGCTCCAATTACCACTGGCACCACTGCTGCTCTCACTTTCCACATATTTTCTAGCTCCTCCTTCAGTCCTTGGTATTTCTCAAGCTTCTCGTGTTCTTTCTTCTTGATGTTGCTGTCGCTTGGGATTGCCACATCTATCACTACTGCCTTCTTCTGCTGTTTGTCGATCAACACGATGTCTGGTTGGTTAGCCATCACCTGTTTGTCAGTCTGGATCTTGAAGTCCCATAGGATCTTAGCTCGGTCATTCTCAACTACCTTAGGAGGTGTCTTCCATTTTGACCTTGGGACTTCCAGCCCATACTCATGGCAGATGTTCCTGTACATTATGACAGCTACCTGTTTGTGGCGTTCCATGTATGCACTTCCTGCCTGCATTTTACACCCTGCTGTTATGTGCTGTATTGTTTCAAAGGCATCTTTGCACAGTCTGCATCGGGGGTCCTGCCTGGGTGTGGTAGACCCTGGCCTCTATTGATGTTGTACTGAGTGCCTGTTCTTGTGCTGCCATGATTAGTACCTCTGCGCTGTCCTTCAGTCCAGCCTTTTCCAGCCACTGGTAGGATTTTTTGATATCAGCCACTTCTTCTATTTGTCTGTGGTATACGCCGTGCAGCGGCTTGTCCCTCCATGATGGTTCTCCTTCCTCTTTCTTGTCCTCACTTTCGGTTTTCTCCTGCCTGAGGTACTCACCGAGCCATTTGTCTTTGGGGGCCATCTTTCTGATGTACTCCTGGATCTTAGTTGTTTCATCCTGGACAGTGGTCTTGACACTCACTAGCCCTCGGCCTCCCTCGCTACGCTTGGTGTACAGTCTCAGAGTGCTGGATTTGGGGTGGAACCCTCCATGCATTGTGAGGAGCTTTCTCGTCTTGATGTCAGTAGCCTCTATCTCCTCCTATATATATATATATATATATATATATATATATATATATATATATATATATATATATATATATATAAGACTGATCATCCTAATTGGCTTTTGTTATTATTTCTGAAAAGACATTAACATGATATAGAAGAGAAGTTGTAATAATTAGCGGGGGAACTTCATTGTGTAACTACATTGAAAACAAATGAAACCCCAATTATTCCTGAAGAAGCCTTCTTTAATTTTTGTGTTGGCTGACAGGGTGCAGTATAAAGAGCCTCTACTCAAGGTAAACAAAAAATTAAGTGAACTTTTAAATATAGCCGAGGGAATAGAGGAAGATTTTTTTTTTTTTTTTGTAAGGCAGGAAAGCTTTTGTTGTGCTCAGATCTCATGCTGACAGTAATTGCTTTTGTTGGAACAGATGAATTCTTGTTTTTTTTTTTTTTTGCTATTATTTCCAACAAAAAGAGAGCATGCAATTACTGTGAAATGTAACTTTTTTTCTTTATCAGCAAGAGTCAATATGTTTGTTTTTGAGAATTTCTTCCTCTGATGCATCATTTTAAACATCGAAAAGCAAACCTTCAACCTGTTTTCAAAACCCAGAACAGTATTTTCTTTCCTTTTCATTTCAGAAAGCAGACCTCCGCATCTTTACCAAGTATCCACAGCTTCGATTGTTTGTGGATGAGCTGTCAGCACAGCATTCACAGCAACCGAAACCTTCTTTCTCAAGACATTTCGAGGACATGAGGGGGGGTTAGTAAACATTACTTTCTTTTTTACAATTCTTGTAAAAATTGTACCATTTTGAGTCAAAAATTGTCGTCAGCCCTGAAATAGAAAACAGCTCCAAAAAAGCCAAGCAAAACTGAACAATCTAGGTAAATTTTGCTTAATGATTGTATAAAGTGACTGTAAGCTGTGAACCATTGTGTTGAGTGAATAAGGCTCAAATGCAGACATAAGTAGGAGACAAATGTATTGCATACCTATAATAAGAAAATAGCCCAGTAACGTGAAATTCTGCATAGGTTCAAAGAGAGCAACATGATATTTGAATGAATGAATGTTTTTCACACATACTGAAAAACAACTCATAAGTTTTACTATAAAAATATATTGTAAGTATTTGCCCACAGAAGGATTTAAGTAAAATTTAATGCTGCAGTATTCCTTGCGATAGATTGGCGACCTGTCCTGGGTTTACCCCGCCTCTCGCCTGTAGAACGCTGGAGATAGGCACCAGCACCCACTGCGACCCCGCTTGGGATAAGCGTGAAAGGAAAATGGAT